TTTGCTTTCAAATCGCAAATGACCCTTAGCATTGGCAATAGAGACTATTATGATGGTCTAATAAGCATATGCCCCTTATTCCAAGACAGCTTTTTCTCATTTCTCCTTAAACTTTCTACCCCAACTCATATCCTCCTCACTTCCAGCTGATGGCCTCATCTCATAAGTCATCAAGAAAATAAAGTCGATGAGAAATCCTTCCTTCAATTTCCACCACCAAATTCACACACCTTTCTGCATATGCTGGCATTTTCTCATCTTTTTTCAGGTCCAGAAAAAAAGCCCCTCTTCCACTCAAAGGCAAAAATACCAAAATGCCCCAAGGTATGTCTGTATTCTCTCCCTCTCCCAGCATCTCAATCAGTGAATTTCTTTGGCCACAGACTGTCCTGTATCATCAATATCTCCTACTGAATTATTTCTACCAGCACACAAGAATCTCTGCTATCTTCTGACCTTTTAAGAGGCATTTCTCTTAATCTTCCTCTGGCATGGCATGTCTCACCCCCAGCCCCCTGCTCTCTTTCATGGCCAAGCTGCTTCGAAGAGTGGGCATCCACATTGGCACCACTTTTTCTAGGCTCTCTTCCATTCTTCCACCCACTTCGGTCTCGATGCTTGCCCACCATCTATGGCAACTGCCTTTGTCCTTTCTCCTGTGGATGTTACCACTGTGATATCTGCTGTCAATTCCAAAATATACCGTCCCCTGTCCTTATCGCGTGGGACTTCTCAACAGTATTTGCCATGATTGACTGTTCTCTCCGTTGTCCAAATGAGCTTATCTTTGATTCAGTGAAATACCTTTGCTCTGGTTTCCCTTCTTCCTCTTTTGCCAGCCATCTTTCTCTTCTCTGAAGGTTCATTCTCTTCCTGGCCGTGCAGAATCTTTCTTCTAGGCTCAACGTTAAGCACCGTCCTCTTAGGAGATGCCACCCACAGCCGTGACTTCACGTGACTATGCATATGCTGATGACTCGCAGACTTTGATATCTAGTCCATACTCCTTCTTTGATTCCAAACCCTCATTTTCCACTGCCTGCATTCTCCCTGCTCTTAGAACCCCTCCTGAAGGAACCCCTAAACGTCATTATATCCTAAAGCTCATTTAAGCCTAGTTCTCTTAAATTATCTCTGCTTTTCAGAGAATTCGCTTTTTCTAAGTAGAAACGTGGGCATTGCCTTTCTCGTTGTTGCTGTTTGAGTTGGAGTCTCACTGTTGCCCAGGCTGGAGTGCAGTTGCAGGATCTTGAACACCACAGCTTCGACCTGCTGAGCTCAGCCGATCCTTCCACCTCAGTGTTCCAAGTAGCTGGAACTACAGGCACACACCACCTGCCTAGCTAATTTTTTTGATTTATTGTAGAGACAAGGCCTCGCCAATTTGCTCAGGCTGGCCTCGAACCCCTGGCGCTCAGGCAATCCTCTCGCCTCCTCTCCCAAAGTACTGGGATTACAGACTTGAGCCACCGTGCCCAGCCATTATCTTTGGAACCTTCTTCTCCCTCACCTCCTCTCCTCACCCCAAGTCAGCACAGAGTTCAGCCTCATGACTCCAGCATATTCCCTGAACCATCCTGTTTTCCCACATGGATCCCAGCTGCGATTCCCACATCAAATCCTACCGTCATTTCTCCCACCAAGCTGCCATTGCCTCTTGCCTAAACTGCTGCGCTAGTTTCCTAGTGGATTTCCTATCCATCCTGCGCCCTTCTTGACCATTCTTTCCTTTTCAGCAGAATCATAGCGATAATCTGATCCCGTCATCCACCCGCTTGAGCTCATCACCCTTCAGTTCGTTTTTGAATGTGTAAGCCTCAATTACATGGTCCACAAAGCTCTGCATGGTTTGGCACCCATCCATACCCCTTGCCAACCCCCAGCCTCATCTCAAACTCCTATCTTCTTATACAGGCTATCTTTTAATCCTCTCTCTGAATCATACTGCCTTCTACCTAAAGTCCCATGTGTACTCCATTCATTTGTCTGGAATGCCCATATACCTCTCTTAAGAGGCTAAGTTCTTTTTCATTCCTGTCTTAAGTGTCATTGCCTGAAAGAGGTCTTCCCTCCTTGGCCCTCCACCTCCATTTACCCCATCACTAAACTGGATATAATTTATCATTAATATGTTTCTGTTTATATATTGATTTTCTTTCTCTTCCACAAGATAGCTCACGTGGAGAGCCCGTAAGTTTTATTTACACAAGCAAACACCCAGAAAGTGCTCAGTAAATGTTGAATAAATGAATGAATGCATAAGAAGTGATCACACGCATATACAATTATTTCTTTTCATCTTTCATTGTCCTCTGGGTTAAGTTTTTACTTTTGCTTGGTTTCTTTAGGGTCTTGTTGTAAATAATAGCGTCCTTACATTGACTCTGACCAGCAAGTGATGGTCATGGGGGGAGGGGAGACTGGGGAGTAGATTTTTCTGACAAAATGCTTCCATTTTCCTCCTTTCTTCTCACAGTGTCCATTCTTTGGTCCTCATTCTCCAACACTTCCACTGTGTAATTAGATTTTTTTCCAGGAACTATGAAGATAGGTGATGTTATGTGTATTTTCTGAGGAAATTGAAGTTCACAGTACTAAGTGACTGACCAGAGGTCCACAAAGCAAAAAAGTTCCACATTCACAGTTTAAAACGAGGTCTGTAAAATAGGGGCACTCGTTATTTCTCTTTCCACCCTACCACACTGCCTCTTACTATCACAGGGGAAATCCCTGGAGGAAGAGTTTGACTCTTACATAAATGGTCCTGACTAAATAGCGTAAGCTGAGAGCCCGAAGTTCATTCTTTGACCAGCACAGTACTATGCCTTAGTGACAGTTATTTTACTACTATAACATTGGCAGTCAGGAGAATATAAGATGATTAAATCAACAATATAAGAAGACACTTTTCAATTTTCTTTTTAGTAAACTACATAGCATTGTTTCTTCATCCATCCTTATTCTCTCTCTCGAGTTAATTTTGAATAGATTTTGAGAAAAATACTACTTTCGGTGGTATTTTATAAAACCTACTGTTTGTAACTGCGGGTATTTAAATCTTCTATAGTCACCCCATCCTAACTACATTGCTTTTGTTTTCCTATGTTTCCTTCTTGTGTCTATTCATATATTATGAAATATGTGTAGTCTTTATGTGTTTCCATACCATACAGTTGCAGAGTTTTTATTCTACCTTTACATTTAACATTTTCATTGTTTTAGCAATGAAGAAGGAAGAAGCAAAGAAGATATTTCAAAACTAAATTGTGTTTTTTTATGAGTTATAATAAAAATGAAGGTTTAAGGAACGGCTATTTTATGTTAGCAGAGACTAATGACATAAGTAGATGTAATACAGTTCTTAGGGAGCTAGATGATCCTTTGGCAATACTGCTCTGGCTAAAGAAAAGCATTTTCTTAAAAAAAATTATATGTAAGTTTATCTAAGGATATGTAACAAGGTTGAACATAAAATTGAGCTACAATCCAGAATTACTACTAAATAGGTAATTACTTCTGATTTTTGTGATCTATGTACGGGCACTAGCAATTTTATATCTCTACCTAGAAATGTCAGAAGGACTTCATAAAATATGAAGTATATTTTATTAACTATAAATGCATTTCCCTTTAATAGAACATGCTAACTTACTTGACATTTATTGATACAGATTCACTTAATAACTTCTGCATTCATTCTTGTCAAAGGTAGTAGTTCATTTACTTATGGTAAGGGACTTTATTTAAATGGCTAGAAATCTCATTCCTAATTTAATAAGGCCCACCAAAATATAAAGCAGGCTACATCAGCATTGCACATTTGTTATATTAATTTCCTAAAATATATAAGTTCATTCTAAAAGCTCTTTCTAAAAATTATCATAAAGAAATGGCTTTTTAATTTCTCAAAGTTCTTGTCTAAATTTGAAAAAAGTTAGAGCCGGGTGTAGTGGCTCATGCCTGTAATCCCAGTTCTTTAGGAGGCTGAGGAGAGAGGATTGCCTGAGCCCAGCAGTTCGAGATGAACCTGGGCAACATAACAAGACCTTGTTTCTACAATACATAAAAAAATTAACCAGGCGTGGTGGTATGTGCCTGTAAGTTCTAGCTACTTGCAAGGCTAAGGTAGAAGAATTGCCTGAGCCCAGAAGGTCGAGGCTGTGGTCGCTGTGATTGTGCCACTGCACTCTAGCCTGGGATACAGAATTTTACTCTGACTCAAAAAAAAAGAATAAAGTTAGGAGAAACCTTTAGTGTATGGAAGTGTGAGCTTATTTTAAATCACATATTATGTTTCTTGAATAATAATCATGCAGGTATATTTGAGAAAATTCTGTGAGAGTTCAGGGAATATTTAGAGAAGAGTTTCTTCTCTTGGCTTTATTACTCATTTGAGTATTTCAGTGGGTATTGTAGTGAATTGTGGCTCCCCCCAAAAAAGCTGTCTACTGGAATCTGTGAATTTAGAATAAAGATCTTTGTAGATCCAATTAAGGTAAGGATTTCAAGATGAGCTCATTCTGAAATAAGGTGAGTCCTAAACCCAGTGGCCAGTGTCCTTATAGGATGATGGAAAATGAGAGACATGTAAGAGACACAGAGGACAGAAGGCAATTTGAATACTCACAGAAGCCAAAGAGCTGCCACAACCTGGAAGAAGCAAGGAAGGGTCTTCCCTAGAGCTTTTGTAGGATTTTGATCCTGCCAACACTTTGATTTCAGAGGCTAATCTCCAAAATGTGACAGAAGAAATTTCTGTTGTTTGAAATTTGTGGTAATTTGCTGCAGCAGCTGTGAGAAACTAACATGGGTATGCGATACTAATTACGGGTTGTGAATTTCCTTCAGACTTAGTATACGGCTACCCTGTGTTTATAGACAAGAACTTTTCTTTAAGTATATTAAAAACTGAATATTTTTCACAGAAAACAACCTTATATACCTACTATTCCATTTATCCTCATAAGGTTACTGTTTTGGTTTTATTTTACCTACTGTAGATGTGGCTGGTGGTTATTCATATTCCATGCTTGACGCAATCAGAAGAGCTGTGATGGTTTCCAATATCCTTTTAATTAATAAGGTAAATGAGAAAAGCCTCACTCTCAAAGAAGTCTTCAGACTAGCTACTCTTGGAGGAAGCCAAGGTAATGACTATTATATTTCTTTCTTATATTGTATGACCATGCTGATCTGTAGCCTTGAATGCAGAAGGAAAGCTCATAGTAATGGTATCAGGAGAATCCAATGCATATGACTATCACATCTCACATAACATACCCAAAAGTTAGCCAGTAAAGTATATGTTCAGGCATGCGGTGAAAAAATCATTTTTTCCGGGGAATTCACTGTCTTTGGCAGAATAGGTGTTTGATACACAATTAGCATATTCATTGTTTTAATGGATATTATCTTGGTCACATGCATAGGAGTTCTTAAAAATAATACATTCTTCCACTGAGTCAAGTAACTTGCTCTCTATTGGCTTGAGTGATAATCATAATAGTAAAATAATAGCCAAGACTCACTGAGCTCTTACCCTGTGATAAGCACCATGTGACACATTTATATGTGTTGTTAATTAATTCTCACAACCACTATTATTAATTCCATTTTGCAAATAAGGAACCTGAGTGAGGCTTACACAGCTGTCAAGCTACAGTGTGCCACAATTTGAATCCAGAAAATCTGATGCCATAGTGCAGGATCCTACCTTCTGCCCTCTACTATGATATTTTCCTGTGTAAACCCCTGCCTACACCAAGCATTTAGTTTATATACTTAGACACATTCATTACTCAAACCCTTTTAAAAGGATAAAGATGGAAAAATATAGTTGGCTACTATGCAAATATTGTTAATCAGCCCTTTCTAGTTCTTACATGTAACTATATTTTTATGTAAAAAATAAACATCAGTAATTGTATTGCTTTATGCCACTTTAGAATTATAGTGTAATGTGATGGATGATAGTGAAAATGGCATGAAACCATAGGTAGCTAATGAGAAATTAAAATGTAGATAGATATAGTTGCAGATACATATATAGATATAGATTTATGAAAGTTACTCTGGGTCTTAGAAATAAAGGATTATTGAAGCCAAGAGTATCCTGGGAAGAGAAACGTCCCAGCTTTCCTTTGAGTGTTCTGGGCGATAACAAATACCTTGAGGGACATTTCAAGAAAAACAGGTAGAGGTTGTGTTTCTTGCATTTCTCTAAGTGTTATGGTTTTATTTTCTAAAATTCCATTTTCCAAATCACCCACTTTTTGAATAAGTGTGACACCATTTCACCCATACCACAGTTATATTTTCACATCTAAATTTGAGTTCAAGTAGTTGTTCTATCATCTATTTTCATGGTGCAAACAAGTTGTATTTAAATAGTGCTTTTTTTATTCTAGGCTCTCTGTGAGTTGCTTCATCAGGATCCTGTTTCTGATCAAGCCAGCATGGGGTGCCTACCAAATCAATTCTACCTTTCTGTGTAGCTTTTCAATCTATTTTCTGGGCCACTGGGCTTACTCACAGAATTTCTTCTCCTTAGCTTGTGTCTCTACTGTAGTCTGAGTGAAATGAATAAATGAATCCCTGTTTAAAGTATGGCATTTTCCCAGCTCTGATACATTCACTCTCAAGAAGATCAAGATATGTATAAATCATCATCACAGAACCAACATTTTCTCCAAAGGCAATAAAACTCATTTCCTGAAATGCATTTGAGTTGCTTACCAGCCCAGCTGGGCTTATCTGCAACAATCTGAATTTACATCAATTTACAAATTCACTGAGAGCAATTGTGTCTTTTTTGGTTAGTGTATTCCTGAACTCTCCAGCTTCCAATGAATAGCCCAGTTAGTTTATATATGTCATCAAATTTGCCTATACCCTGGCAAATGCACCTGATTATTTGGCTTATTAAACATATAACAATTTGATGTTGAATCTGGTCATTAAAAACTATTCTTGACATGCTTCCTTATCAAGGGCAAAAGTAGAGCATAATTAGTCAAGGAGGAGAGAATTTCCAGTGATTTTCTATCACATTTCTTCCTTCCCCATGCAATTAGTAGAAGTCACCTGGTTACTTTTAACATTTCTAATTATTTTCACACCCCTATCTTGCTATGAAAGTTCTTTAACTATAAAATTGTTTTTCTTTTCTGAGAATAAAAGAGTTGCCCTTTAAATAATCTTTTAAGAACAAGTAATATTTCTAAGTCAGTGCTTAGAGAAATACCAAGACTTTGGATACCTATGCAATGAAGTATAATGTATTAGATATGGCCTAACAGAGATAATCAATATTTTCACATCAGACTTTATCCTAGAAATGATAGAATGCAACTCATGCAAAAATTGAAATAAATACTGTTGCACTCCAGGTAGTCTTCCTTTAATGCATGTTTCCACTTGTGACCTCAGTGTATACCTTGTTCAGATTACGGTCTTTAGATTCAATACCTTCATTGACCAAGAAAGCCAACTACCTCCATTTTTCTGAAACTAAATAATAAAAATGAGAGATGTTCTTCCTTGGTATCCAATAATCATGGAACGTGAATTGTGGCTATGAGGTGGACCCCATCAATAGACGTTATTGACCTGTGTCCTACTTTGGAAAACCATTCTCTGGCAACCAGAAAACTTTCGAGGTTATAAAGAGATTGGTCTGTTTTAAAAAGCATTGGTACTTTTGAGTTATGAGGATCTGTTCACTTTGAGAAGTGAGTTTTTTTCTATTCAAAAGATTTAAACTAAGGAACTTATGATGGATATGCCTGCATTGACAAATATGCAAAAGGATAATGATTTTTCATTTATTCAAGGTTGCCAGCTATTTCATGGAACAAAAGGAATAAAAAAGGCAAGGCAAGGAGTTGGAGTGTTGGGGGGAAAATAGGAGGGAAAAAGAAGAAAGGTATTATGCTAATGATCATGTTTCTTAGAGGGATAAATGAAAAGCATAGACCAGCTGGGCTATAAAGTGCAACGATGGAGCTGAAATAGACAGACACCATCAGAATGATGATCATAGTAATGAAGGGAACTGTTTTCATTCTCAGATTTTGCTTTCCTGTGCTTACTCTGCTTTCTATAAGCAGATGTCTTATGACCTATTAGAATAAGAGCACCTTTCTGCCTCACTATTAAGATACTAATTTCTTTTCTTAGTGACATGCTGGCAGATTCTGTCCTCACAAAGTGAGACATTAGCATAGTCTGATGGCTTGCGATCTTAACTGCTTGTTCGCTTGTTCCCCTCTGCAGCCCTAGGGCTAGACAGTGAGATTGGAAATTTTGAAGTGGGCAAAGAATTTGATGCCCTCCTGATCAACCCTAAAGCATCCGACTCTCCCATTGACCTGCTTTATGGGGATTTTGTTGGTGATATTTCTGAGGTAAGTAAAGACAAGTTAATCAAAAACATTCTTTCATGAAGTAGTCATAATAGCGTCACTATAGAAAAGAAAATATAGAAACTGAAATATTTTAGTGGAATAAAGTAAAATCTTAAAAGAGAAGTCAGATCCCTTTGATAATTATTACAACTTTATGACAGCAATATTAATAATGACATTAAAAATATTTGTATCTTGAATGTGCTTATATATTTGAATGTATTTGGCTATAGGTAGCCATAATATAGATAACAGTCATTGAACATTTGCTATGTGCAAGTTAGGCATGGGATTGCACACTTTGATACCTAATTTTGTTTAATCATCAGAACAACTTTAAGAGAGAAGATACTATTAATATTACCATGTCAATTTAGAGAAGCAGTGAGGCTTAAGGGAGACTAAGTGATTTACCTAAGAACTCAGGACTAGTAATTACTAGGCAGTGTTTGGATTCAAATCCAGGACTTTCAGAGGCTGGGGCTTTTGACCACCATGCTATATCAATTTTTTTTTTTTTAAATGTATAAGAAAATGAGTTTTAGCTGGGCACAGTGGTTCACTCCTGTAATCCCAGCACTTTGGGAGGCAGAGGTGAGATGATTGCCTGAGACAGGGGATTCGAGACCAGCCTGGGCAACATGGTGAGACCTCGTCTTTACAACAAATCAAAAAATTAGCTGGACATGTTGGCACACGCCTGTGGTTCCAGCTACCTGGAAGACTGAGGTGGAAGGCTCGCCTCAGCCCAGCAGGTCAAGGCTGCAGTGGCCACAAGCATGCCACTGCACTCCAGCCTGTGTAACAGTGAGACTCCGACTCAAAAAAAAAGTGAGTTTTGTTTCTCTTATCACAAAATATTTTTCTTTTTTTTTTTTTTTAGATTTTTTTTAATTTTTAATTTTAAAATTGTGGGATACAGTTAAGGGTTAGGTTTACAAATATACATCGTTCAGGCACCCTTATTGAAAAGGAGTGTTTCCCTGTCCCCAGACAGATATTCACTATTGTCCCCCCCATAGTTTCCCACTACTGTCAGTCCTTTTCTTATCGTATTTTGATAGATGTTCAAGGTCCACTATATGAGTGAGAACATGTGATACTCAGATCTTTGTTTCTGTGAGAGATCACTCAGTATTATAGACTCTAGTTCCTTCCAGGTTGCTGCGAAATTCATGATTTTGTTCTTTTTTATGGCTGTGTAGTATTCCATCATGTATATGTGCCACATTTTTTTAATCCAGTCCACTTTTGATGGACAGCATGGTTCATCATGGTTCCAGGTCCTTGCTATTGTGAACAATGCTGCAATAAACATGCGTGTGCAGGTATCTTTTTGATACAGTGATTTGAGTTCCTCAGGGTATATTCCCAGTAGGGGGATTGCGGGGTCATATGGGAGGTCAATATTTAGAGCTTTTAGGAATTGCCACACTGCTTTCCACAGAGGATGCACTAGTTTACACTCCCACCAACAGTGTAGATGTGTTCCCTTTTCACCGCATCTTTTCCAGCATCTGTAATTTTTTGAGTTATTGATAATTGCCATTCTGACTGGAGTTAGGTGGTATCTCAGTGTAGTTTTGATTTGCATCTCCTTGATTAGTGAGACAAAATATTTTTCTACGGATAAAATAAACTAGTTTTTTTACCGTAATAATAATTCTTTATAAGATATTATTGAGCTTTTCTTTAAAAACAATTAACTATTGCCATATAAATCAATCTACTTATGAGAGTAAATATGATAATAGATACATTATATTGAAGTTCTTAAAAGAAAAATTCTGGTTACTTGAAGTTTATACCATGTCTTACTATGAGAGAGGAAATATATCTTTTCCTCTAACCATCCAAGTTCAAGGCTGAGAGATTCCTATTACAAAAAGCAATAAGAGAAAAGCATACACATTTATTTGATTTGTTTTCCATGACATAGAAGCCTTCATAAGAAAATGAAGACCCAAAGAAATGGGTAAACTGGAGTATTTTTATGCTAGGTTTGATGAAGTGGAGAGTTGTGAAAAAGTATGATAGGGTAAAAGATATGATCTAATGGTAACAAACTTGGGGGAACTTGGTAAGTCCTTTTCGCTTAGATTCTTCTCTGTGGCTTTTCATCTTTAGAGATCAGGATACTCCTTTTCTTCAAATATAGGGAAGACACCTCTGGAATGAGGGAACTTATGATCTGCTTCAGGGGCAAGTCAGAAAATTCTTCCTAGGGTTTATAACCTGCTTCAGGGGAGAAGGATGAGGGGAAGGTCAGAGTGACTTTTCTGCTTTAGAGTTTTAGGTAGTGTGTCCTGACTCTATCATTATTTTCATATTTTTGATTCGTTTGCCCTTTTATTAGAGTGAATTTCTGGGAATAGGGTTCAGTCTCATTCACCTCGTCTTTTATTTTCTTACATCATACATCTATTGAAATATTTGAGTTATGTTATTAAATCAATTTATTTAATTTATATAATACGTTTTCTCTGATGATTTCAATGCTATATGCCAAGAAATTCCAGGCAAAGGACAACATTTGTTAATAGCCAGTGGGTTGTTTCATTGCTTTGGGTTGTTTTTAAAGCACAAGATCATTTCTTTTTTTAATTAATAGAAGTAGGTTTCTGCCATTGAGAAATAAATATATATTTCTAGTTTTTGCCAATCACTATTGGCTGTGAATTTATTTTTCTAAATGCACAAAATATTCTTTCTTATTGCCTTTATTTTCCCTTTTAGACTGTTATCCAGAAGTTCCTCTATCTAGGTAGGTAGATATATGTCTCTATGGTATATAAAGTCTTCCTTGTTGTTTGGCTTGGTTATGGCTCTCTGTAATCATTGTACCATATATTTTTTCATTGTACCATGTATGAAACCTCTGTCTGGTAATTAACTTTGATTCATTTTCTTTAACACTCCTTGGCATCAAGCCACTGTGGCACCATATTTAAAGGTACTATTTAAATACCCAGGACTCTAGTCAAATTCTAAGCCGAGGAATGGAAGGCCAGAAGGAAAGAGATCTTCATGTTCAATCCTTTTACACTCATTCTGCTCTGCCATGTTGTTTTTGTGATAAAAATGTAGTGGAGTGTCGCCACACGTGCTTGCAATGTATACATATTCAATTCGATTCTATTCACTGACAGAGTAAAACAATAAGTAGTGCAGAAGATTCTCTGCCTCCAGTCCACTCAGTGAGCTTAGTACTGAGTGAACTTGAGGTGGGAGAGACAAATGAGTTATTTCTTGTGGAGCTCAGTTTCTGCAGACTGTTCCTCTTACTATGTTGAGTATGATTCTGGAGTGTAAAGATAAGTATTTTTTCCCCACTTGGGGCTAGAATGCAAACTAATCACTTTAGTTGAAAGAACAGCTATAGGAGGTTAATTCCACTTTGTGTGATTTCTGCCTTTGATGCAAATTCACACCCTCATCATCAAATCAGTGATGACATCTACTATTGATTATGTTTCCCTGTCCAGATTATAAATGATTTGAGAGAAAGGCAGCTTTTCGTGTTTCTTCTCTTAGAAGTATCTTTTTAAAAAAATCTCTCCCAATGGCAATTAAAATAATTATTGACATAAAAGCGCTTTATAAATGATTACTTGATTTTTCTTTCAGGAGATGATCGAAATATTGAGGAGGTTTATGTGGGCGGAAAACAGGTGGTTCCATTTTCCAGCTCAGTGTAAGACCCTCAGGTATCTACGGAGTTCTCCTGGGATTAACGTGATTCTCCATCTCCCTTGTGCCCAGGTGGAGTTAGAACGTCAAAAAAATAGTACCTTGTTCTTGGGATGACTATCTCTTTCTGTGTCTAGTTACAGTATTCACTTGACAAATTGTTAGAAGGAAGTTGCACTAATTCTCAACTCTGGTTGAGAGGGTTCATAATTTTATGGAAATGCCTCCCTTTTGAGCTGTTCAGATTTACTTTAAGCTCAAACAAAAGGGAATGCTATTGCTGATGGTGTTCTTGTTATGAGATTTAAGTAAAATCTTTATCATATTTAGAAACATGAAAGAAAAGATATTCCTATATGGTTAGATATTTTGAGCTAATAAATGCAAAAATTAGAAAACTGAAAATGAACTTGTGAGTATATTTTTATGAGGGAGCAAGAGTTAGGCTGTGAACAAATGTTGGAAGATCACTTCAGATTGTGTTTGAAAATTATATATTGAGCATATTAATTTAAAAAGAGAACTCGTTGAATTTTAAAACGTGTTTCTAGGTTGAACTTGTGTTTTAGAACTTGCACTTAATGGAATTTGCATTTCAGAGATGTGTTATTGTTGTGCTTTGCCTTCTTTGGGGATGAATGTCAGAAATTGAATGCCACATGCTTTCTTAATATAGTCTTGTGTTTCAAAGTGTTTGACAGAAGTTGGGTATTAAAGATTTAAAGTCTCTTAGGAATATTATTCATATAACTACATGGCATAAATAGTTGTATTTTGTGTTAATTTATAACTGTGAGATGTTATAATTGCTTCCATTGTATTAGAAAAGAAACAAATTCCATACTCCACTGTTCTGTAGACTGGAGTCCTCATAAATTGGAGCAAGTACTATGCATCTGGGAACTGCTGATACTAACAAAAAGGGTCCTACTGCAATGGCCTGTTCTTCCCAAACACTATGCTGTAGTTGCTGGAAATCTCATACTTGGATATCAGTTTGCTAGAGTATTAAAGTGAAGAAATCCTGTTAAAGAAATATTATTAAAAACCTTTAAACCCTATATATGAAATCTCTCTATTTTCTAATTTTATTCAATTGTCTGTTTAATTCCTTATAATTTTTAGGATATTAGAATTTTGGGATAATGAAAAATACATAGCTCTCCCACTTAATATTTATATTAATAGAACTTAATTTGTACTACACATCTAGGGACGTTAAACAAAGCAAAGAGTATTTTTATGCTTCCTAACTAATATAGTATGCTTTCCTATAACCTAGAATTAAACTCAAAGTATGACCTGATGGTAAATCCTTAAGAAATATTGATGTAAATGTTATTTCAATCCTATATTTTTCTTATTTAACGTCAAATACTATATATAAACGAGGAAAAGCTATAGACTTTCTTAATATATTACAACAGTCATTTCTAGGGCTTAGGTGTGACTCCCTAATGTTATCTTACGGTAGAAAACTTTATATAATATAGCTAACCTAATAGTTACAAAGCTAAGAATACAACTTTCCCCTCCTGTAATATAAATTTTATTTTCACATATTACTAATTCAGTAGTAATTTGTCCACTATTGTTTTTCTGGTAAAAACACTTTTAGATTTCATTGTGTCTTCATTATAAAGATGGAACACAATTTTGGTCTTTTTTTGTTTTTCTTTTCAAGAAAAAATCCCAAGTTTGTTTTGTGGGATATTAAGAAACTCAGTAAATCCCAATTCCAGTCTCAGTTTGTATTTCTAGTATTTCTTATTCTTGAGCCATGTCAAAGATGTTCCGCCAAGTGTCTCCAAACACTTCTCTTTAGTGCTGGCAAGTGTTTTCTGCTCTATCCTCCAATCCTGCCAAAGGAACTTGGATACATGGTGTTTTACCAGATGAGTGGGCTTCGGAATTTAGATGAGATGTGTAAGATCCATAATAGGCAGAACCTGCATCCAGCCTTTGCAAGATCCCACACTTTTACCTTCCTCAAGGGTGTACATTTTGATGTTGAACGTCAGTTTTCATCTAGATATAGGATTCACATGCAGTAAATATAAGTGTAGCATCAGAAGTGGGAAGAATGGCCATATACAACCATTCTGTCAAACATTACATTTAGCCCTGATAGAATGTTAAGACCTCAATATCTTTTCTAGTAAAAATAGAATGTTTTGAAATGTTTACATGTACTTTGATCTCTCTGCATTACTTATAACTTACGTGTTTTATTTCTCCAAGTGCAGTGTTCCTGAGTGTTATGTATGCTTTATTCCAGTGCCACAGGCATGAGCTATTCATGGGGCTCGATTTTCTGCACTTTGAAATGTTGCCTTTGCCTAGTGTAGGTTGGGTTTTTGAATTGTGGAGAGGCACTATTCTGAGCCAATCCTATTTGTCACTTTATGTTTGAATATTTTGCTCTCTGACAGGAAAGGAATAATTTTAACTTATCAACCTCCTCACCTTACCCTCCACCATCTGCCTCATGCTTCATGGCATTTTTAATGGAATACACTTTAAAAGATAAAAATGTATTAAAAAATATTGACTTTCATAAATTTACAAAATATTTTTGCAACCAGGACACCAAAACAGGCATATCAACTAAGATGAATGTAATTTTGAAGTGAAAAGGAAACACGAAAAATAAAAGATTAGGATGTAAAATGTTGTCCTAAACTGAGAGCAAGGAGACTGCTGTCTTATTTATTTTCTCAACTTTTTCTCTAGTTGAATTATCAAAGGTTTTAGACTCCAAGAGGGCATCTTGGAACAAGCTCCCTTTTTGCCAAGAGGAGGCCTAAGTTGATGCTGTGAGAATCAAGCCCCATTGAATCTCTTTTTTACTTCAGTGAGAATTCCTCAGGTTAAAGGAGAGGAAATGGTAGGAAACACTTCCTGTTATGCTTAGCTGACTTTCAAGTGTGCCCTTGAATATCCCTGTTGGCAGCTACAGCTGAGATCTTACAGAAGAAACGTAATGGGTGTGAGAGCTAGCAATGCATTTTGAATCTTCACTCTACCAGACTCTTCCTATTTTTAATCCTTTCACCTCCGAACCAGACATATGGAAAGCTTTAAAGGCAAGCTGGAAGGCACATTGTATCAATTTTACCTTGTGCTGCCCGTGGGAGAGATCCAGAATTGGAGGTTTCTGGAACTTTTAAAAAATATCTTCATTGTTGTCCATTTTTAAAGTTGCGGATGATGTTTAAAAAGAGTGTTCTGAGCTATTAAGAGATGGACTAAGAAATGTGTTATGGGCAATGACTTGAAATATTTTTAAATTGCATGAATTATTATGAATTTTAAAGTTTCTTTGGGAGGCTTAAACGAGATATTTGAAATTTCAGATCTCCAGTCACCTTAAGTATGCCTTTGGACCTCACACTTTATAATGTCTGAAGGAAAAGCCTGAAAAGAAGTGTGCGGATGAAAGGACACTGTTAGAATACCCTAACATTGGTCACCATGCATGTTTTGAAACCCAGCCTCTCCTCCTTTTCCCTCCCACAACCCTGAGTGTGAGAGACTGAGAGCTGAGGGGTTTGTGAATCCAGTCCAAATTTAATGAAATGTAAACATCAAAAGGCCAATGATGGAATTGAATGTGAATTCCAAGATGGCTTTCCCAGTTCACAGGGTTCAAGTGATGGGAGTAGCAGATGTTATTCTTAGCTCATCTCTTATGTGACAGTGATTTAACTTTCTATTTCCTATTCAAAAGCCTGTCAGAAAACATTCTTTAGAAAAAAACCACCTTACCTTGTTGTTAAACTCCTGATTGCTGCTGTTAAGACCACATGTATGTACACATGGGAACATTTTTCCCTAAATATTTGTATGATTTGCTTATTGTTATTGTGCTGAGTGAGCTCCTGTGTGCTTCAGACAAAAATAAACGAGATTTTGTGTTTACGTTATTTGTTGTAGTGAGTTTTCTCTGTTCAGTTCTGCCGTAAGTTCTATCAGTCTACTAGAAGGGGGATTAATCGTACAATATTTTTCTTCTTTTAGCACGAATTTTAAAAAGTAGATGAGAATATTTAGCTGTGGACCAACATGTATCTTCCATCCTCTGATAGTCACTATACATAGCTTTTAAAAATCAAGCTATAATGTTCAGTCCTTTAGAATCATATTGCTATTTCTTTTTATTTCAGCATAGTGCATATTTCTTATATTTTAAGCCACAACAGAATGAGAAATGCACTTTGTATCAAGAATCAGTTTACACATACTCATGTGTATTTAAAACAAAAGTTTCACAGAATAATACTTTTTCTATCTATGATGCCTGGGCTAATTTCTATACTATTGTTCTATTTCATTTTATTTTGTTTTATTATGCTGATGGTGGTTCCACAATTGGTTTCTTGAATCACTAATGAATCATCACCTGTGGTGTAGAAGCAGTTTTCCCGTATCTTTCAAGCTTTGTTTCAGTCTAAGCTTGATCACTGCCTCTCTGGGTGACGGACATGTTACTTTAAGTCTCCATGGCTCCATTTTTTCCTCTGTGAAATGGGGATGACATGAGTGCTTGCCTCAGAGTCATGAAGATTAAAGAAAATGTTACATGAAGATTAAAGAAAATGTTACCCAGCTAGCACTTAAGATAACTTTTGGGTGCTCACTATTAGGTAGCTATTATCTTCAAAATGAATATAGGCAGAACAGAAATAGAAATAATTCAAAAACATATTTTTATCAGTGTATTTTTTAGAATCGAAAGCAAGTGATTTTAAGGATCTTCCTTTACATAAAAACATTGTTTCTGATTTTTTTCAACACGATTATATGTTCATTATTTTTATTTATACCATGAAACATAAAGAAAGTAGTAGATATGGTCTCAAAATTCATCCTCAGTGTCTGAGCAACTTGCAAGGCAAGTCCCTGGATTGCACTGGTGGTCTAACTTGTTTGTAGTTCTCAGAGTGACTGTAGAATGTGCTCGAAATGCAACACTCTGAGATACGGAAGAGCTAGCTGCAACAGCCTGAGCTTTGTTCTCATCTCTCCTGGAACAGAATGCCCTGCAATGCTTTAGCCCAGGATGCTTTATATGAAGCATCCCCTAGGTATAAAATCCAGGAGAGCATGCTTTGCAGGTCACTCAGCAGCGTGCAGACTAGACTCCATTCGCCCTTGACAGCTATCTGGAGCCTTGGAGGACTGGCCCGCTGGAAATCCTAAGCTTTTATTGCCCCCTGATGCCTTTCTGTGAGTTGCAAAGTTGCTTTACTTAATTTGTTGTGCAATCGGTCCATCTTACCAGACTCAAGCAGGTGGTAGAAATTGCAGTCCAAGGTGCAGTGGACATGGTGAACCTAATTCACACAGTTACCAAACACTTCCTTTTCTTCCTATAGAGCAATTTAGTCCAAATACCCAGAAGAGAAATTTCATGTGCATAGTTTAGCAATAGTGTGTGTCCGGTGTGCACACTTTGGACACAGAGTACTTCAATGGGTAATCAGTAGACACATGTGAATTATTGCATCATTCTAAATTCAAGATTTAGACAAAATAAGATTTAGACCAAATACCTGCCAGAAGTAAAATCAGGACTCTTGGTAGGGTGTTTTAAGACTGCAGGAAGAGGCTACTCAGTTGCTAGAGCAGAACTCACAAGTAACTCATCAATAAGAGCAGGGGTTTTGTTTTGTTTTGTTTTAATATTGTTTTAAAATAGAGGCTGGACATGGTGGCTCATGCCTGTAATTCCAGCATTTTGGGAGACAGAGACGAGAAGATTGCCTGAGCTCAGGGATTCAAGACCAGCCTGGGCAACTTAGACCTCATCTCTACAACAGATCAAAAAATTAGCCGAGTGTGGTGGCCTGGGTGACAGAGTGAGACTCAGACTCTTAATAATAATAATAATAATAATAATAATAGGATAAAAGAAAAGTGTTCTCTGTCATTTAAAGTGATAGGGCAGCATATTAAACTGTAATTCTTTTTTTTTTTTTTTTTTGAGTTGGAGTCTCATTCTGTTGCCCAGGCTGGAGTGCAGTGGCACGCTCATGGTCACCGCAGCCTCGACCTGCTGGGCTCAGGTGATCCTTCTGCCTCAGCCTTCCAAAATGTGGGGATTACAGGCATGAACCACCATTCCGGGCCTTCATATTGCTTTAAAATAGGATGAAAGGGAAGTGTTCACTGTCCTTTAAAGTGATAGGACAGCATTTTTAAATGTAATTCTTTTTAAAAAATGCATTCAAACTTATCCTCTTTTACCTCTAAACCTGCCCTTAACCTATATCATCAATGTAATATTACATCAAATCATCATATTTTTAAAATTTTTCATTCTTCCATAATAGTTAAATCTATATTTCAGAGTGGGAATAGAGGAAAGAGAGCTAAAAACTTTTCTTTATGGCAAAAACTTTGTTGAAAAATTCTCAGTGGTAACTCAGGAAAAAAAATTTTTTTCTTCATACAAAAAGTGATTAAAAACCAAAATGAACAGATCACATGGAATTTCATAGACACTTCGGCCCTCCTCTATTGCCTAGAGCCTGACCAGGCCTATAGAAAGTAAGCACACATTTATTCCCTGTCTGTAGAAAGAGGGCCCAAAGTGACAAGCAGTAAAATCAAACTTGAAAGAATTAAAGTCCCTAGAAAGATTGTCATTGGGTCACACGACAAGGGGTTCTCACGCACTGGCTTGAAAACTGGAACTTGAGGCTTCACTGTAGAATTAATTTCTGTCCTTTTAGTCTTGGCCAGTCTCCAAATCAGACTTTTGCTTAACTGGTGTCAAATAAAGCCCTAATCTGTTGTACCTATAAGTGAACTGCCCAGGAATGAGTTTTGTTCTTTTTAAAAAAAAAAATCTAGAATTTGCTGTCTTGGAGTGCGGGGCTCCTGCCCCTGCAAAGGTCGTGAAGTTTCCTGAAGAAGAGACAGATAGGCGAAAGACAAAAATATTATACTCGGACACCTGCTTCCTGAACAGATGACATCCTTTATTAGTTAACAGAAAGCTTTTATACTATTCGTAAAGGGGCAAGACAAAGAAAATTCCTTCACGTACATATCCTTTAAAAGTTACCACCATCTAGCGGTCTTAGAAGAAACAAACAAGCCAAGAACACTATCTACTTTCAGTTCATGAGTCTTGAGATAAGTTTAAAAGGAGTTTCATTTAAACTAAACATAATGTATACAAGGTTTACTTTGATTTTGGTTCCACATCACTTGTCTAATTAAAAAGCCTTAAAATCACTAAAACAAAACTATAGATTGTACCTAGTGATAGTAGAAATATGAAGTCCATTAACTTGACCAAACAACAGTGGCTAGCATTTAAGAAATAACTATGAAAGTGACTTACTGTGAAAATACATATACTAATCTTTACTCTGAATAAACATATAAAGTGAACTAAACATAATGAAATAAAACTAACACAGCTAAATTGTTATGGTTGCATAATTGCTAATGAGA